TAAGGATGCAAATGGAGGCATCATGGACTAGCAATGCCATTAGTCTAGACAGGAAGCAAAGGAGAAAGCAAGGCTCCAGGAGAGCACGAGATAAGGAGGTCTCTTTGGGCACATTGCCTTGGAGGGTCCTTGAGACACAAGGCGGAGACATCTGAGTTTTGTGGGGAGTTCTAGACTAGAAAGAGCAATGTGCAAGCCATCTATAGAGAGCACCAAGTAGGTGCTCAGTTAACATTTTTGCCAAGGACAAAAACAGGTAGGTGACTTTATTATTCCCACTTGGCCATATTCCAAAATCAGGGTATTTGTTATTCCAAAATATGATGAAGAGTCCTTTCAGAATTAAAGAAGACATACTTTTCTGCTTGCTRGATTTGAGATGATGGTTTTCTCTTAGAAGGTCAGCAAGAGTGACCTCCTGAGGCTCTCAGGCCCAGTGCCAGGGGCAGGAGATGAAGCGTGCAGGCCCAGTTCTGTTTGTGGAAAGGAGCAGTCACCATGTCACCATATCCAGGGGGGGAAAGGGCTGGCTGGCTGCTGCTCCATGAAACCACAGCATCTTTATGAGGTGCTTGGGATGCAGRACCTAAAGGCAAGGCCACGGCTGTGACCAGGCTGAGGGGGTGAGGACACGCTCCCCTCTGATGCACACATCAGAATACCCCTGTGTCCTAATGGAGTTTAATTAGATAGACAAGTTGCCCGAGGCCCTGGGCCTGAAGAAAAGAATTCCAGGGAAAACCCGTCTCCAGGCTCAAGAGGTTCTGCAGGGATCTGAGGAACAAGTTGATGCCATTATCAAAGGAAAATCAGACAAAAGGCCTTTCCTGGGCCCTTGTAGGGACAGAGGAGTCTGCAGAGCAGGCAGGGAAGTGAGGAGCCGAGCAGAGGCACTGAGTCTGTTTGGGGGACTCCCTGGACTTGGGGAAGACAAAGAGCGGGAAGAGAGTGGGAGGTGTCCCCTGATGGATGGCGAGGGGGCAGGTCAGGGTGTTGGATGTTTGCAGGGAGAAGTCTCCAGAGAAGAGGAGTGAGTCGTCAGCATCTCTGCTTGAGCCCACACGTCTCCTCATTTGTCCCTTCTGGAGAATGGGAAGTTCTAGGACCTGGCTGGGCTCCTGACCCAGCCACTAAACTACTCTGGACTTGGGAAGAGGCAGAGGAGCAGGCAGGACGGGGCTTGGTGGGCAGGCAGTGGCTTCCCCCCTGGGCCTCAGTTTCCCCACAGTAACATGGAGAGGGAAGAAAGTGCCCGCCCTCCGTGAGCCACGTGACTCAGGGCCGTGGTGGTCCTTGCCTCTCAGGCCACAAATGCTGACTCCTCTCTTCCCTCCCCAGTATCGAGAAATCCTGGAGAATCACCTCACAGACTCCATCAAACTCGTGCCAGGCCAGGCAAAGAGCAGATGCTGCTGACATCCAGGGCCCCGCTCCGGACACCCAGGGACAGAGCCTGCCCTGGGCCCACTCATCCCGGCTGGATCCCCCCACGGTCCCACTGCCAACCCATGCTCAGCCCAGGAGGCAAAGGCTCRGCTCTCAGAGCCCTCGACCATGCTGGCTCCAGAATCCTAGCAGCCATCGCCTGGGGCAGACTGTAGTGAGGACGGGGTTACACCCTCAGGGCCCCGGATGAAGCCCAGAATGTCACCAGCAACTCCTGGCCCTGGAGGAGTCACAGTTTCCTCAATGGCTCCAGCTTTCTTTCTGCCTGCTCTTTCCACAATCCTGCTCCAGAACGCATCTCTGCAGATAGGCCACTGTTCCTAGCGTCCCATGGACTGGTCTCCTTGCTCCTTCCTGCCTCACACCCCCAAAGCCACAAGACCATGATGCAGCTCSGCCTCCCTCAGTAACCAGGCCAAGGAGAGAGGGTGTGGAGCCCGCGTGCAGGGCCTGCCTCCATTCCCAGAAGATGCTCAGCAGCCCTGAGGCTCCCCTTGGAKTAGAGGACTGAGGGCGCACAGGAAAGCTGCCAGGGACTCTCTTCATTCCCCTCTGCTGGGTGCTCAGGACAACTCACAGAAATCTCTCCAGCCTCAGTTTATTCATCTGTCCAATGGGGGTGATAGGCAGGTGCCTGCCCATGTCAAGGTGTGATTTTTAGGGACCAGAAGCTGCACCTACATCTCAGTGGCTATTGTTGATATGCGTTTACTACTCCTTCAAAAAATAGTGTTTAGCATCTACTATGTTAGTTGCCCTGAGGTCTGGACAAGAGCTCTGATCCCCCAGAGCTGACAGCTGGTGGGGGGGAGAGGCAATGATAAGAACTTATACAGGTGTTCCCAAAGAGCAGGTAAGTGCCAAGAACACAGTGAAACAAGGCAACAGGGCAGGGACAGGGCTGTGATGAGGTGCGATTTTAGGACTTCCCTGAGGAGGTGACGTTTGGCCTGGGAGCTAGAGAAAGAGATACAGCTGCCACTAGAGAGCTGGAGAAAGTGTGTTCCATGGGAACAAACAGCAAGGGAGAGACCCTGAGGCAAGGACTAGATTGCTGTATTCAAGGAACAGWGAAAGGACATTCATTTACCTGAAGATTCAAAGCTGCGGTCCCAAAGGCCAACCTGACCACTGGCAGAGGGTGCCTTGCTGCTCTGATGACTGGCCACCAGAGGGCAGCAGTACTCCTCCGTTTCCAAGCTCAGCCGAAGGTGGATGTTCCTGGGACACTTGAGGAGCTGGTGTTCTGGCCAAGTTCAAGGTTCAAAGTTTGCTCCCACGTTCTAGGCATTATCACCCAGATTTGTGGGGCAAAAGAACTCAAAGTTCTTAAACATAGTAAGAAATGGGCAAAAACTGCAGCATACTTGATTCAGGCAGGAAATCAGAATCAGAGACCAATACTCCAATGAGATGCCTGAGGAGCTCCCGGATCCTCTGTCCCTGCAGAAGCTTATCTGTGGCTTCAGACAGCACAGATAAGACACCCAGCCTGAAAGAAGTGAACAAGATGACCTCTCAGGATCTTCCATGGCCGAGTTCATGTCCACCACAGACGTCTCCTTGTCTCTATAGAAGTCTCCTGAGTTCCAAGAAAAGCTGCAGATATTAGCTCATGACTGCAGGTGTCATCTGCCTCTAGAGATTTACCTAGAGGGAGGGGAGTTGGGGTGATCAKCAAGGGTTTGGGGAGCCCCTCCCCTCCACCTAGCTCTGAAATATGACCTGGCTCAATACTTGGGTCCAACACAGGAGAAAAGCAGCACCCCTCTATCTGTCCTCCAGAAGTCCCAGAGAGGGACAACATGCCCTCAWGGGGTGACATTTTGCACACACTGGCTCTCCTGGGAGTCAGTCACACTGTGGATTTGATGTGTCACATGTGGRTAGCATCAGCTGTGTACCACAGTGGACATACAGACCATTTGTACACAACAACTAGTAAATGTATTCCGTGTTTTTAATCCTGTGTGGGACAGTAGTCRCCCTTTGTCCACGGTTTCACTTTATGCAGTTTCAGTTACCCACAGTTAATGATGGACCAAAAATATTAAATAGAAAATTCTAGAAAGAAACTATTTATAACTTTTAAGTCCTGTGCCATTCCGTGTAGTGTGATGAAATCTTATGCCATCCTGCCCAGATGTGAACCCTCCCTTTGTCCAGTGTTTCCACACTGTATACACTACCCACCCGTTTATCACTTGGTAGTCATGTTTATTATCAAATTGACTGTCATAGTACCAAGTGCTAGTGTTCACGGAACCCTTATGTGCTTCTACCACCAATGTCATCATGCCCRTGTCACTAAACTCACTTCATCTCATCTCACTGTATCATCTCACATCAGGATGTGAGGGTGAGGACAGCATAACAAGATTTTTCGAAATATACATTCACACAACTTTTATTATAATACATCATTATAATTGTTTTATTTTAGAATCAGTTGTTGTAAATCTCCTACTGTGCCTAACTTATAAACTAAACTTTTCATAGGTATGTATGTAGAGGAAACACATATAATGAGAGAGAGTGTGACACTATCCATGGTTTCAGGCACCTACTGGAGGTCTTGGAATTTCTCCCTCTGCACATAAGGAAAGATGATTGCATTTACTTTTTAAATTTAAAAAACCACATCTACACCTGGCACAGTGGTGCATACCTGTAATCCCTGTGATTTAGGAGGCTGAGACAGGAGGATTACAAGTTTGAGGCCAACCACAGCAACTCCGTGAGACCTTGTCTCAAAATAAAAAAAAATAAATAAATAAAGATGGCTGGAGACGTAGTTCAAGGGTACAGCACCCCAGTACCCGCCCCATACACACACACATACACACACACAGCAACCACATCTACATAGTTCAAAATGCAAAGGATACTAAAGGGCAGACAACAAAAATAAACCAAGATGGGCAACATAATTTGCAGGGCCCAATACAAAATCAGAATGCCAGGTCCCTTATTTGAAAATTATTTAGGATTTCAAGGTGACCACGACAGAGGCTTACCTCAGGAATGGGTCCTTCTGAGGGCTGGTTGGCTACGTCCATGAAGTGAGCCCTGAACAACACCTAGTTGTCAGTGCCTTCCAGAATGACAGGAGACCGGCCAGGCCTCCTGGGCCGCAGCTTGAAGGGAAAAGGCTGAGCGTTGGCCAGAGCCCAAACCTGAGGCCCAGCCGAGGCCGCACCACACACTTGGACCTTCGGCAGAGTCAGGCCTGGACAGCATGTTCCAAACGMGGTGGGGACTTGGGGGTCTCAGGACCCAGAGCATTCATCCGTCACAGCTCCGGGACATGCCAACAGGTCTCCAGGCAGGTGAACTGAGCTGGCAGGAAGTCCTCTGAGAAGCCCACCCTGTGGACCACCCGCGCCCCCTGGCACAGGGGAGGTGTCAGAGGGAGGCTGTGGCTTTGGCCTGTCACAGTGGTACCCACTGGGGGCTGGGTGGGGGTCGGGTCCCAGGGACCCTTCATCACTACCTTTCAAAGCAGAGGCTCTGGATCAGCAAGGTCCCCTGGCCCAGGCTGCTGACACCCATGGCGGCCCTGCTCCGGGCTGTTGTGCTGAGGAAGAATCCAGGACAGGGCTCTGGGTGGCACATGCCCTTGGGGCTTGGGGAGAACAGCCAAATCTTATCACCAAATAAACCTGGGCTGGGCACAGCTGGGTGCCAAATGCGGGGCGGGCGGGGGCATGCCCCACTCCTGCTGCTGCTTGACCTACGCTGCCCGCATGCTGGCCTGCCCCCCGCCGTCACCAACGGTGACTCCTTGAGCTGCTCCCTGAGGAACGGGGCACATGGCAGGCACCTAGAGGGGGGTCGCCTTATTCCCAGGGCACACAATCCAGGGGAGACCCCAGATTAAACCAACGGCAACACCCAAAACTACCTGAAGCTGGCACACGACAGGCCTGGCCCTGGCAGAGGCCGTGTGCACCTGCAGCCTCCTGAGGACTCGAGCTGAGGCAGGGGACCAGGCTGGCAGAGCATTGGCTCAGGCGGAGGGCAAAGACCTGTGCCAGGCCAGGATTGTATGTGCGTGTGTGTGGGGGGGGGGTATAGTGTGTGTGTGTGTGTGTGGTTTACTGTGTGTGTGCATGTGCATGTGTGTATGGTATAGTGTGTGTATGTGTGTGATGTAGTGTGTATGTACGTGTGTGTGTGGTGTAGTGTGTGTGTGTGGTATAGTGTGTGTGCATGTGTGGGTATAGTATGTGTGTGGTATAGTGAGTGTGTGTGTGGTATAGAGTGTGTTCATGAATGTGTGTGGTATTGTGTGTGTGGTATAGTGTATGTGTATGTGTGGGGGATATAGTATGTGTGTGTACGTGTGGGGGGTATAGTGTGTATACGTGTGTGTATGTGGTATAGTGTGTGTGTGGTATACTGTGTGAAGTATAGTTTGTGTGTGTGTGGTGTAGTGTGTGTGCATGTGTGTGTGTGGTGTGGTATAGTGTGTGTGTGCATGTGTGTGTGTGGTATAGTGTGTGTGTGTGTGTGTGTGGTATAGTGTGTGTGTATATATGGTAAGGTTGTGTGTGCGTGTGTGTGTGTGTGGCATAGTGTGTGTGCATGTGTGTGTCTGGTGGGTGTGGGTAATGAGTTAGCAGAGGCTTAGCAGGTCGGGAATTAGCCTCCCCTGGTGGAAGCGAAATGATAACTGGCCATCGGGCTGGAGGACACACAGGAACAGAGATGAGGGCTCCAGGGACGGGCAGGTGGGCAGCTACAGCGCTGAGAGCCTGTCTATATCAGTGAGTCCCCAGAGGGGCCACTGGGCTCGTCCTTCAGATGAGAAGAGGTTTCCTCTCCCTCCACCTCACGTCCACCAGGGCCTGTCCACTCAACTGTCTCACCATCTGTTGGATCCAGAGCCTCCTCCCCATCCCGCTGCTCCCCCTGGTCCAGGTGACTAGTGTGTCTTGGCTAGGCCACACTCTGGCCTCCTGCCTGCCCGTCCACCTCTTTCCTGGCCACTCCACAAGCAGCTACTCCTGTGGTGTCCATGAAGACCAAACCCTTCTTGTCCACACACACGAGCCACTGCCTGCTCCTCAGGCCTCTGCTCCCTCCAGGCTCCAAACTTCTCTCAGTTCCCCAGGGCCGCTGGCTGCCTCTCCCCTCCCAGCCCTGGCCAGGAGGACACCTAACTTGGCAGATTCCCCCTGGGCTATTCACTGTCAGTGGAAACACCATTTCCTCCAGTTAGCCTGCCCCAGCCCCCAGCCAGGTTAGGGGCCTCCCGGTGCCCTTACAGCCCCCAGTCCCACTGATCCTAGTGCCAGATCATCAACACCATGACAGAAATACCAAGGGGAAGGATTTTTGTGGGCTCTATTTACTACCATCTCCCAGTGTCCAGAGCAGTGCCTGCCGAGTGACTGGTACTCCATCAATATTTTTGGAATAAATGACACCTGTGATACTCTATTATAACTGGCTGCTGCTTTTAGACTGTGGTCTCCTTGGGGACAGGAACCGTGTTGATTCATCATTTTAACCTCAGCACTCAGTGTAGAGATTGGTGCATGGTAGGTGATAAATATCAGTGGAATACATTCAAATATTTTAAAAATATATTAAAGATAATTTTTAAAAGGATTATGAAGTGGTCAAGAGATGAATAGATAAAGAAAATGTGATATGTATACACAAGGAATACTACTCAGCCATAAAAGGAAATGAAATTATGGCATTTGTGAGTAAATAGATGGAGCTGGAAACTATCATGCTAAATGGAATAAGCCAATCCCCCCAAACCAAAGACCAAATGTTCTCTCTGATATGCAGATACTAACACACAATGGAGGGGGGMGTGTAGGGAAGAATAGAAATACTTTGGATTAGACAAAGGGAAATGAAGGGAAAGAGAGGGAATGGGAATAGGAAAGACAGTAGAATGAATCAGACATTACTTTCCTATGTTCATATACAAATACACTACCAGTGTAACTCCACGTCATGCTCAATCACAAGATGTGTGTGTGGTATAGTGGGCTGGGGCTATAGCTCAGTGGCAGAGAGCTTGCCTAGCATGTGAGAGGCACTGGATTTGATCCTTAGTACCACAAATAAATGAACAAGTAAAATAAAGGAATTYTGTTCATCTTCAACTACAAAAAAGAATTTTTAAAAAGAATGAGAAATTATACTCCATGTATGAATAATATGTCAAAGTACATTCTACTGTCATGTACAACTAAAAAGAACAAATTAAAAAATAGGAATGATGAGTGGTCTGTGGAATAGATCCCAAAGACGCATTGCTATTTGAAAAAGTGAGGACAGAGTTGTGTGTATAACATGTTGTCCATTTTGTAATAAGGGACTGAAGTAGAAGACTTCATATTAGTTTTTGCTCAGACATAAAGAACACTCTAGAAGGATGCATGGAAAATCAATAAAAGTAGTTACCTTTCATAGGAGGGACTGGGCAAGTAGGGATTAGGAGAGAGAGCAAGTCCTAGTGTAATTTTATATTTTGAATTTCCAATTATTTGAATCTATTACTCAACCAAAAATGAAAAAGAAGAAAAATAAATATTGAATCCAAGACTGACAAATTCAGATTCACCTGCAAGAGAAAGACACAGACATAAAATTCTTCCAAGCCCCCATRCCCAGGTCTCCCAGTGGGGTGAGGTCACCTGAACTTTTCTTGGTCTTCCTGTGCCAGAGAGGAGGCCATGCTTCCCCTGAAGTGCAGATCAATAACAGCAAGTATTGCCAGGTGTAGTGGCCCACACCTGTAATCCCAGCAGCTYGGGAGGCTAACACAGGAGGATGGCAAGTTCAAAGCCAGCCTCAGCAAAAAGTGAGGCACTAAGCAACTCAGTGAGACCCTGTCTCTAAATAAAATACAAAAAGAGGGCTGGGGATGCGGCTCAGTGGTCAAGAACCCCTGAGTTCAATCCATGGTACCCCCAAGAGTTAAAAAAAAAATCAAGTGTTTCCAACCTTAGAGGCTCAGT